GCTTTGGTCATGAATTACTCTCTGTAGAACTACATGTATTATGTGTACTCATATGGGAAAAAAAAATTATTACATTGTTCTAGAAACAGCCATTCCATCAATCATTTTAAATATATATATTGTTGTGTGCTAATTTTGTTTCATTGTCATCAATTACTTTCCAAACAGCAAATAAAACTAGTAAGATTTATATTATTCTAATACAATAAAAAAGTTGTCTCAGAACAACAGTTCATGTTTCTAGACTTTCAAGATTTGCATTGAAAAATGTAACATACGTATTGTATCCTAAATCATGTCCTTTCATCCAATTTGTACTTAATAACCTCACTTAATGTTTTTTAACTGCAAATTTCTAGTGTATGCAAAATCATATTTCAATAATTTATCCTGCTAATTAGATGTGCAAGTATTAAAAAGAAACAATACAATAGTATTTTTTTAAATAACTTGAAACAAATTCATATTTCTGGGTTGTTTTGTAAAAATATTAAATTGTGACCAGGCTTTAAATATTAAGTAGAGTTATGTTGAATAATATTAAGTTTTGATGAAAGCAAACTACTTACATAGCTCAGAACCAAAAATATATATCTAGTAATAAGCATAGCTAATCTACTAAGTGTTCAAACTATTACTTACAATGATTAGAATACATTGTTTCATCAACTGGGTACCACACTTGCTGTTAATGATATTCTTAGCCATAAGCCCATTGTTAGTCTGTTTGGCTCTAAGAACCTCAAGGCTTACTGGGATAAACATAAAATAATCAGGATCATGCCCATCTAGGTAGCAGGGAGGCTGGGAAAAATTCCGTGGGGCCCTAAAGAAGGCAGGAGGAAAACTAACTGAAATAGGGGGCCAACATACCAATCCTTCAGAGTGCTCTTGAAAGGTGCTTACAACCCTGATTAGGGTACCAAGCATATTTTCAAACATAGTTTTAAAGTAGAAGTTTTATAACCCTAACATATTGTGTCACTACAGTGAGAAATTTTCATTAAACATTCTTTATTTCTAAGTTATGTTCATTTTTAAAAGTGGCTTCATATATATATATATGTTTTAGAGGCTGGTTTATTATGTTGACTTCACAATCATTTCCATTTTAATTCCTCATTAATTAGCTTTTAATACAGCCATTAATAGATAAATATGTAAATAAATAAGAAAATTAGTCCTCATCTTAAATTCACTTTGTACCAACTTATCTTGTAAGATTCACACATTCATATTTAAGTCGATCATACATTTTTGCAGCATTTCTTGTTTTGCATTTCAACACAGGATAAATGTTTGTTTTTCTTCTAAAAATTTAAAATTTCAATCCCATGCTAAGTTGGACTAAGATTTTACTTTCTAAATGTTAATATTTATATATATATCTATCAACTCTCTGTCATACATATGTGTATGACATGGAGTTTGCAGGTAAAGAGTAATGCAAAGGGAGAAAAAATCAGCAATTTCACAAAGTTATTATTACAACATAATATTTGGATTAAGACTATTCTTGGAGCTCTACTGATATTAAAAGTAATGTCTGTCTTTTCATTATATTAAATGTTTTTTCTTTCTCAATAGGCCACCATCTCAAGGAGCAGGTAGTTCTCAAAATGACCCAACCAGCCAAACAGCTTCAAGTCAGTCATCTTGAAAGTATGACTTCAAAGAAGTCTTCTGATTCAGTTTTGTTAAGCAAACATTAATCACTTATCATTAATCAAAAAATTTTTATATAAGACTTCATAAAATAAATTGAAAAATGAGTAGTGACAACTATACAACTTACCTAAAAATATTCTTTCAACAGCTATTCAGAATACTTTTTTGTAACTGATTACAGACTTTACCTTCTGATGTCTTGGACTGCTACAAAGTATATGTAGTATGCACAACTCAGGTCACATTGTTGTGACCACTTAAGGATTAATCAGTTTATTGTTTGCTTTTTAACAACTATAACCTGGCTATTGCCTATGATCAAAACATGCTATGATGTATTTATTACATTTTAGATGAGAAAGAGAAGTTGTAACTAGTAAGTAAAGTTTTGTAGATTTCAAACTAGAGTAAGGTGACAGTAAACAAGTATAAACATTTAAAATGTTGGCGTTAGATGAGATGAGAGGAAGTTCTGGTTGGAGAGAAAAGCTATATACGTTTATCAGCCTCAGATGAGATGACATTAAGGCTTTTCTAAGAAAGTAAACAAATGTCAGAATGGAATGAAATGATGAGAGACTGCAGTTAGTCAAAATGTTTACTGAGCAGCCTCAATGTGAGTAGTATGAGCAGCAAACAAGTAAAATAAGGTGACATAAGGCTTTAGTGAATTAAAAAAAAAAACTTATATATCAACTTCAGATGGTGTAGCACATCAGATAAATAAGGTGATGAAAGCTATAGTTTGTACAAAAAAGTTCTTGGTGTAAGAAAAAGGCTTAATGAGAAAGTCAAGCTACACATGTATTATCTTTAAATGAAGAAACAGGAGACTAAATAAAAAAATTACATTCTTCAGCCTAAGATAAGGTGAGAGAAAGCTTTAGTCTTCCTGTACCAGTAAAGCTGTATAAATATCACATTTAGACATTGTGAGACAAGTTTTTAGTAAACAAGCTAAGAAAGTATTAGCCTCATTTAAGTTAACAAAGATTTAGTGAACAGTGAAAAAATGAAATGTAAATATCAACTTTACATGAAAAGGCATGAAGCTTTAGTTAGCAATTAAAATTAAGTAAATATTAGTATTATATAAGTGACAAGAAGATTTAGTAGCTAGAAAATGAAACTGTACAATTATCAGATTCATATAAAGTGAAAGGAATATTAAATACTGATGAAAAATGGTTTCCGTAAGCAACTTGTGTAAATGCTAGACTAGGATCTCACATATTTTAAGCTTCATTAATTGTTTCATATCATGTAATGTATATTGTAATAATAGTTTTACTACTATAGTATATAAAGCCTGCAAGAGTTAAAAAAGATTTGTAATTTTTAACTGAATTTTTTGATATATTGCTATTATAAATACATACACATGCAAACATATATAAATTCATACATATTTGCAAAAGTAAGAAATGTAAATGCAACCCCCACACCCATAGCTTAAACTCATTTATTTCATTGATTTTTCATTAAAACATTAAGATTGCTCTTTTCAGTGATAAAAGCAATTAACATATTTAATTCTTCCTTTATTAAAGTTAATTCAAAAAAAGTACTAAAACTGTTGGAAATGTTAAAATAAAGTATATTTATGGCTGTGCAATTGACTTTTCTACTAGTGATTTTAAAATTGTAGATAGTTTAAATTTCATTATATTGCTTAAAAAATTAAATACATGCACTCTTCATGTTTACATCTGGAAGTACTGCTCTGATGTATGAGCATCTAAGAGTGATTATTGTATTTATAACAGTAATATTTTCTTCTTCAATTAAACAGACTCATCAATTCATTGAAATTTGACTTCATGAACTTTTTATCTTTTTAAAATCTATATACAATATTCAAAATCTCAGGAATTACTTGTGAAGAAGATATTTCTACATAAATATCTTCATTTGTCAGTGTATATAACATCAGTGAACTATCTTGCATGATTTATTCACGAAAACTATAATATTTAGTTAATTCGTCAAGCATGCTTCTGTTTTTATGCAGTTATATGTAACCAATACTGAATTTGTATTATGTGGTTTTTTTAGAGAAACAAATCATTATATTACTTCCTTTTTTATTTGTATTATTTTTATTATAAAATCTATTTAATTTACATTCTTATAATTTACAAAAGAGTAAGCCAAGTTGAGGTAGTCAACTTTATATTTTAGGTGAACCTCAACATTCAACACTTTGATATAAAGATCTGGAGTGAAATTTTTACAACTGTATCAAAATTCATATGCATATTGTGATCTTTGTCTTTGAGATAGAATCTTGTATTAAAAAAAGAAGTCAAATCAACAATTTTACTGAACCTATAGGTAATAAGATCCAACAATGATGCTTAGTTTTAGTTTCATATTGAATTATGAAGTTGCAGTTACTTGAAACTTTTGGATTAAGTTAGTTATATCTTAGTTACATAAATTTATAAAAAATGTCAATTTACAGAGTAAGAAATATTTTTGTAATAAAATTTGTCTCTTAAAAAACTTCACAAAACTTTTAAGCTTTATATCTTATTTATTAATCATAATATATAGTCATACATGTATATAAATGTTTTTCATGAGTACTTAAGAAATATGACTTTTTTCCTGCTGTTTCTTTTTTAAGGGGTTTGTCATATATAATCTACTCCTAATTGCACTTTGTATTTTAATATGTTGAGAAGCAAATATTTATTTTTGTTTGGGAAAAGGTTTTGTTTATATATATCACTGTATACATATGTTATTTGTTAGTGTTTAAAGTATGTGGAGACTGAATTTGCAAGCCCAATACCTGTAAAAATTTGTGTTTATGTTATATTTGCACACACACACACACACACACACTTGCATATATCTGTATTGTTGACCAAAATAAATTATAAGTACAATTTTTGAAAAAACTGTAATAATACACAAGTATACAAAAATGCAAATGATTAAATGAGTTCATAAAACATACAAGATACCTAAACAGTTTCAACATGCCAAGCCTGTCATTCTCTTAAGAATGGCAAGTCTGGCCTGATGAAGCTAGTTGTTTTTTGTATGTTTTGTTAATTCTTTAAATCATTTATGTACTATTTTACTTGTGCGTTATTGTTTTTTATGAACTTGCACAAAGTACTTTTTTTAATGTAATTTTCAACAAATAATTGATTTAGTTTTGTGATAATGAAATGAAAAGAACATATGTGATAGTCATAGAGAAGGTTATATCATTCTTAGCAACAAACAGTTCTTAAAGTTCATTATTACCTTTATCACACTTCTAAAAAAATGTTTAATATTTAAAAATACTTGTGTTCCCTTTAATGAATTATTTTTTAGGTTTTTGCAGATATTGTGTTGGACTTCATTATTTGGTAAAGTTTTCCTGTTAAAAATCTTGATTTTTTACATTCATCAAAGCTTATTTACAAATATTTATAGATAAAAACCTACATTTGAACTTTTCCACTTTTAAGGGTTACTAAACCCAGTCAATTGCTTAATTTCAAAACATCTCACAAAGAATTACTATTGCACACACACAAATCCTTGGTTCCTCTAACTTCTTGTTTATTATTTTTCAAAGTTGGAGCTGCAGTTTTTAATTTATGTAAACTGGAAATCTAGTAAAGGATAGCTCCAAAGTTGTTGCTCCGGATAAACATTTGGCACTATGTTAACAATACTGCAGAAAAACACCTACAGTTTAACTTATCAAAAATTGATCTTATAAAGATAAAACTATTTATTCAGTTTGAGAAGTAGATTTTTAGGTATACACTGTACAGTATGTTGTTCTTTTGCTATATTATCATTAGTTAATATTGCTTATCATAATTACATATTATTATCACAGTTAATAACAAGTACTTTTAACCTCTTCCTTAATTTCTTTGTATTTGGTAATGCTTGTATTATGTTTTCACAAATGCTACTTAAAGCTGACTATGATAAAAAATGGGCTTTAAGCTTGTATTTTTAGTATTTTAATAGTATATCTCAGTGGCAAAGGAAGGGAGGGGGATACTTTCAATCTGTCCCAGTAAAAATGCATTAAAATTAGATAAATTACTCTCAGGAACATTCATAAAATGTAATCCAGATCCCAAGAAATTCCAGGGCCCTAAGATGAGCCCTGGTTATAATTGATGTGCCTGTGGTGCATGTTCCCTTATTTTGCTTGGCCAAAAAAACCTTGCCCCCATTTTTAACTTGCCTCCTAAACTTCTGTATCCCACTGTATCAAATGGTTGTAGCATTCAGAAACTTTTTAATTACCAGAACCTAAATACTGGTGTTTGAAAATACTTTGTGTTTTTAGTTTGTCTGTTTAAAATTAGATGTATATATACTTACATGTTATGATGCTGTCCATAGTACATCCTCTGTATCTAATTACCCTTAGAAAATGAGATATGCAAACATACTTCATGTAAGTATGCTTACGCTTATTTCTAAACTTTTAAGACTGTGCCACTGGATTCAGGCCTTTAGTTGTGGCTAGATAGAATTAGGCCACTAGAATCACTTTTTTATCAACAATATGTACATAGCTTTGAAAGTGTTTTCTAAAGATAGGTTTAATTGTAGATTAGTCCTGTAAGTTATATCAAGGCGACTGCAAACTATTTTTGGAACTAACTGAATATGGATAAAGTTTCCTCTGATAAAAAAAAATTTGATTGAATTTGAAAATTTGATAAATGGTGTCAAGAATAAGATTACCTACTTTTTCTACACAATTATGTAATTTAATTTTTATTTTAGCATCCATGTGATAAAGTACATGTATGTATATGGTGTCACAAGATTTGTAGTCCCTGTACAAGTTAAAATTGAGAAAACTCCATTAACTCAATACACGACTTTAACCACATGTACTTGGAGAGCACATAATGTAGGATAATAAAATCAGATTAATTATAATTAAACAATCTGATAATGTAGGTGTTTCATGAAAAGTATATTTAGATCTTCCCTCATCAATGGTAAATTAATGAAGCAAGATTTATCTTACAAGAATTATAACCCTGTTTATTAAGTTTTATTCATTTACATGATATACACGTACCTACATATAAAGTCAAGGTTACTATATTGAATAAGAGAGCTTATAATTTTTTGTTAGTTTTTCTCAGAGTTTAATTTTATTTAATATGATTTTGTTTGAAGTTAATGTAGATTTATGAGGGTATACCATATGCATCAAGGTCACTGTTGGATAATAAACAAGTATATTTCACCTTATGAAAGTTTGGATATATTTTATTATTATAAAAACATGTACCAGTTCAATTTTCTTTTTTTCTGTTTTGTCACAGTTGAACTATATTGTGGCTTGAAAGTTCTTGTACAATTTTGATGTTTTCAACCCTTTTTTTTATCGTATAGGTGCAATTTTAATCATGTGTGAATTACATATAACTGTACCTTATGGTGTATCTACACAATAAAATATTTTACTTTTTATCAACTGGTCTTTGACCTTTTTCTCCTACCCAAAATATTGTAACTAAGAGCTAAAAGTCATAAGTATTGTGGGCTTTTTCTATTTTAACAAAACATACAGTATCTTTGTTCTACATTAACAAAAATACTTTTGGATGTACAAAGTTGAAAGAAGTAAATCAGAAAGAAACTTTGAGGAGGATATGTTTTTCTCAGTTTTTACTTAGTCATCAATAGCCGGTATGCAGCCTTAATAAATTTTGACATCAATATTCATTCTTACAACATTTACTAGTTATTTGAGATTTTACCTGTTTCAAACCACAATGTACTATGACCTGTATAAATATGTTTGTCAACAAGTCAATTGTAATGCCTTATAATATATATGACTAAAACAATTCACATTTCATAAAGTCTTAGACCCATATATTTAAATCACAGGAAAACTTAATATTTTGACACTAGTTAGTTTAAACACTTAAAACTCACAAGCATCTAGAAAATTGACTCAAGTTCAAACTGAGCCATATTCCAGAAGGGTAACATGTTTGCCACTAACATGAATGATGATAAACATAATCGTGAAATGCTATGCAAATGATAATGATTTCGAAGGAAACAGACAAGTTGTTGCAGCTTGCATAATGCAACAACTGTAAATACTGCAGTGTAGTTGGCTGGATAATAGACAACAACTATGTAAACCAATGGTCCTCAGTTGGCAGGCCACATCAGGCTTCTAAAAACCAGACTTGTGATCTGCAATGTGACCAGATATTACACATGTATTTGAGGATTGATGCATTCCCCAACAAGCTCAGGCCTGGCCCTTGGCTTTATGGTCATCATATGAAGTGGCCCAGTGTGGAAAATAACTGTAAACCACCGATATAAACTGTCAAGAGCATTATCTGTAGATAGTGTTAATTCAAATGTACCCATTATTACTGATGAAATATTTGTTTCAAGGAATGTGGCTTTAGATTTCCCAAAAGTTGCAATAACAGTAAAGTTGTCCATCACATAAGTCAGTATTGACTGCCATATTTGTGATAAGCTTGATAACTTATCTCCCAAGACTGTTTACCTTTGTTCACGTATGTTGTGACCATGAGCTATGTAGAATGCTTAATTTCACCAAACAATCACTAACATAAATGGAACATAGCTCAGTAGTTAACAGTCAATATCTAAAAGAGTTCAAATATAGTGGCAGCTAGTTGGCATGATTATTAATATTCAGACCAACTGTAAAAAATGGCTGCAAGCACAACATTTATCAGAAACAAAAATCTAAAATTTGATAGTATATTAGTGAGTACAATAGTCAAGACATACTATTCAGATGACAGAAATCCTTTTTTTTTATTAAATATTGTGTTGTGTGTTCAAACAGCATTCAAATACAAAAGTTCCTTATTTATACAAAACAAACTACAAATATTAGATATAAATTGAGCTTGGCCCAAAACATTAAAATTCCATGCTATGGCTGTTGTTGTTTTTTCTCTTTCTTTGCCTAGTAAATTTAAGTCCAAGATGATGACTTTGGGACATTAGACATGGTTTGGGCACACTTTGGCTTGTTCACACATGCTGCATGGCTCACAGGTTGGAACATACACTGAAGGACAAATATTGATACACAAGTGCAGTAGTTATATCCATCTACTTTATAAAAATTATACAAAGATGTTTAGAAAAGTAACAGAAAATGGTGGAAGATCACTTCTCTAAAGCATAGCAGAGCCAGTGAAACAAGCTGGATATAGCATAATCAAATTGCTTTTTCAAACTTCCGATTAACTGGCCGACCATAATTGTGCATTTTACACTCATTGTTGTTTAAAAATATATTGTTAATACAACTACAAAGATTGAGGTTTTTATTCTTCATTTTATGTAAAAAGTTAAATCTTTGTCTATTATAATATTCTGTGCTTGTCATAATTAATTTTCAGCATTTTCTATATGCTTAACAACTCTTATACCAAATTTTAAGTATTATTGGAATTATTGCTTAAACACCCCCATTAAAAAGTGT